TAACTAACTAACTAACTAACTAACTAATTAAATAAATAAATAAATAAATAGATTAATTAAAAAAATAAATACAAATAAAAAATGGGCATTTGTGGTTGCTAGAAATTCTAGAAAACTCTAGAAACTGTAAAAATACCTTGACAACACTTCATTTTAAGGGTGCAAATTCTGCACCACTATAAATAAATAAATATATATATGTAAATAATATAAATATAATAAATATAAATATATATATATCACGATAAAACAACAAAAGAAATATAAGAAAATTAAATTAAAATTCTGCTGTGATTTCTAGAAATTCACTGTAAAAACCATAACCCTATATTAACTGATTTAATTTTAATATTCCAATATGAATAGTATTCCAGATAGGACTGATACTATCTACTGATACTGTTATCTGACAATATTAATATCCCAATAACTACAACGTACTAAGCTCTGCTCTGCATATACTGATACATATTGTTAAACACAAGACCACATGATGAATTCAGTTTCATCAAATGTGAAACTCCTGGAAAAATAGCAAGTGCATCCACAGTATATAAATGCGCTCAGCATGCAATGTTCATTTAGATGCATCACACAAAACAATATTAAGGTAGTAACACACATGGCGCTAGATTAATGTTATATACATTAACTAAATAACATAAAATGCACTATGAATGTACATGACTGATTAGGAAAAAAGAAAGAAACAGCAGTATTTTATTGAAATGTGATGTGCCACGCGTGGATTTATACATGTGAACGCCTTTGTACGGATTTCCACCGTACATTATAAAGTGACTTTTCATTTATTTACTGCGACTGTACATTTACTGTACATTTATTGTTGTGCCAAATATTCTACCGTTATTTTTAAGGTAATTTATATTTTCACTTTCAAAAACGCCACTTTATAGTTTTTACAGTAAAATTGCACGCAATGTCTGTTAAATCTAACCTTTATTGTATATGATATGATTATTTACAGCTAACAGGTTTGAACTGTATGGTTTTCTATTCTTTGGACTGTGCAGATTGACGCGGGGAGCTGTCCAGTGCTGAAACTCTCTCCACAGGCACAAGCGCACAACATTTCTTTGAACAACAGCTTTGTTGTCTAAAATGTGCAGTAATAACTATAACAACAGCAACAGTAATCTGAATTCTTCCCGTCCTTTACAATGGGCACATTAAGCTCCAATAGCCAATCGCCCTCATTTAGAAGGGTCACTGCGTAATGACCTCAATATTTTTTATTTTAATGTGCAAAGCAATTAATAAACATTTTCTACTTTTTTCCTCACCTCCCGATCATAGTAGAGTGCTGTTGGACAGCCGCCTCCAGGAGACGCTCGAGAATTGTCCATTCCCCCATGGCTGTTCATTCGGAGACGATATAACACAGCGGAGCGTGTGAAATCAAACGCGAGCTACTGTTCCGCGGGTGTAGTATCAGGCGAGTGCATTGATTAGTCGCTGCTGTCCACCTTGTCTTCCACGCCTCGCTCCGGAGGGCGCACTCCTCTGAGGTCCTGATTAGTCTAAAGCCCTCCTATTTTCTGTCTCGCGAGCAGGACGATAGGTCGCTCTGAGCCTGAACGGAGGGGAGTATAATGTTTGGCTCGTGCTAATCCCGCTTTAAGTAGACTATATTTTACTTTAAAATTGTCGACCGCCCTGAAAGTCTGTATGTTTGTACACACTGTTTATAAATGAAAATTATGTTTTCTGTTCTGCAAAAAACATGATTACATGCCGGTCTAACTTTAGTAAACAACTGATTGAGTAGGTTAGTCTGAACTCTTCACATCAAGAACAGTTCTTTAACCCTCACTTGAACTATCCTGCAGGTGATGAAGAGGTAGGCCTATCTGTGGTAACGCCTGTGGTGAACTTACTCTGGTGAGTAATCGCTTTAGGACTACCCACTAGGATTGAGAGATAAAAACAATTAATGGCAACATGGGATATCCCTGCTAGAATCCAACTGATAACTAAAGCTGCAAAATTCAACACTGGGCAATCAATGTTTGCTCATATTTATAGTGTAGGTAAGATAAAAAATAAAATCCTCATAAGCCTGAAGAGGGCATCTTGACAATGAGCTGCATTCTCCTCTGATCTCCCTTCTCCTCCTAGAGAGCCACAGCTATTTTTATACTGGGTGCTAATTGAAGGCGCAAATATGAATCCATCACAGATGGCTTTTATGCGATCCTGTATTCACTGTATTAATGAACAAAGTGTTACATTTCTTGTAGTAAATGACAAAGATTAATTAAAGACAAATTAAAATAGTGACACTTCTGGAGGGGAAAAAAAAAAAGATTTCTTCACAAATTTCCTGGTCTTGTTTATTTAAAAACCAATAAATATCCACATACAAATTTATTTATGATCCAGTAAATAACTACAAACAAATTGCACTTTGGTGTAAACATACTGTACAAGGAAAAATAAAGGTATAATCTGGCCTGCATGCGTAACAGGTGGAGGTAATGTTGAGAATTTCTGTTCTTTGCATTCATAATCAGCGGTGTAATATGGGCATCCTGGCACCTAGAAGCACTTCCTGTGGACGATGGATGGGCCAGCCTCATCATATTCCTGCTTGCTGATCCACATTTGCTGGAAGGTGGACAGGGAAGCCAGGATGGAGCCACCGATCCAGACGGAGTACTTACGCTCAGGGGGAGCGATGATCTATGAGAAAGAAGATACGGGATGGTTACAAATCAAACATCTTACTAAACTGAATTAAATTTATAAGACAGAAAATTTGAATTACTGAATAAATGTTTTACCTTGATCTTCATGGTGCTGGGGGCCAAAGCAGTGATCTCCTTCTGCATACGATCAGCAATACCTGGGTACATGGTGGTGCCACCAGACAGGACGTTGTTGGCATACAAGTCCTTACGGATGTCAATGTCGCACTTCATGATACTGTTGTAGGTGGTCTCATGGATACCAGCAGACTCCATACCTTAGGTAAGAAGAAAACTGTGGTGTTATTGTTAACTAAAACTAAAACTTGAACCCTTAGTTTTTTGTTCATTTAAATAAAGCTGAAATAAGATATAATATAAATATTAGATAAAAATAAAAAAATAGAAATGTTGCCTTGGTAAATAACTGAAAATAAGTTAAAGCGAACGAACTAAAATTACTAAAACTAACTCTTAAATAAAAATAAATTTAAATAGACTTTTAAATAAAAAATAATGAAAATCACAAAAGCCTAACAAAATTACAAAAGCTAGAAAGTATGACAAATCATTATTGGTTAGTTAAAATAAAGCTATTGTTATTATTACTAAAACTTAAAAAAACGTTTTTTTTCACTTTGTTTTTAATTTAATTCAAATAAAGCTGTTAAATATAAATATTAGGTGAAAAAAAAAAAAAAAAGTGGTTCCTTGGCAACTAACTTATATAAAAAGTTTGAAGTACTAAAATACTAAAACTAACTCTGAAATACAAATAATGTTAAATAGACTTTTAAATTAAAAATAATTAAAATCACAAAAGCACAACAAAATTACAAAAGCTAGAAAGTATGAAAAATCATTATTGGTTAGTTAAAAATAAAGCTATTGTTATTATTACTAAAACTGTTAAAAAACGTTTTTTTTTTTCACTTTGTTTTTAATTTAATTAAAACAAAGCTGTTAAATATAAATATTAGGTGAAAAACTTAAAAAAAAAAAAAGGCATTGCATTGGCAAATAACTGAAATAAAACAGGTAGAATTACTTAAATTACTAAAACTAAAACTGAAGTAAAAATAAATAAAATGCATAACAAAATTACTAAAACTTAAACTATAATTAAAATCAAACTGAAAATATATAAAAATAAGCTAATTCAAAATATGAATAAATATATAATAGCATAAGTAATACTAACATACCACTGAACTAGTTTAGAGCAATATGCAGTGATATAAGTAAAAAAAAAAACACGATGGAATCAATATGATTTCACCCACCAATGAAGGAAGGCTGGAAGAGAGTCTCTGGGCAACGGAAACGCTCATTTCCTATGGTGATGACCTGACCATCAGGCAACTCGTAAGACTTCTCCAGAGAAGAGGAGGAAGCAGCAGTAGCCATTTCATTCTCAAAGTCCAGAGCGACGTAACACAGCTTCTCCTTGATGTCACGCACAATCTCACGCTCAGCTGGGAGAATATAATTCCAGTGTTAACAATATATTATTACAATACAGGTTTGAGAACTCTAATAATGAGACAGCATAGCTTATTCTTACCTGTGGTCACAAAAGAGTAGCCGCGCTCAGTCAGGATCTTCATCAGGTAGTCAGTAAGGTCACGGCCAGCCAGATCCAGACGCATGATGGCGTGGGGCAGAGCATAACCCTCATAGATGGGCACATTGTGGGTCACACCATCTCCAGAGTCCAGCACAATACCTACAAACAACAACAATCTTTAAAGGCTCCAGAAAAACCTACAAGTAATGAAGTATTTCAATGCATGTATTAATACTCACCAGTTGTACGTCCAGAAGCGTACAGTGACAACACAGCCTGGATGGCCACATACATGGCGGGAACGTTGAAGGTCTCAAACATAATCTGCACGTTAGAGGATGCCAGACATTTGTCAAGTTGTCAAAAATTCATTTGAATAGAGCTTTTCACAATACACATTGTTACAAAGCAGCTTTACAGAAAATCATGTTAATGTTTATAATATCTGAATATCTCCACGTCTTTTTAGCAGATTAAAAGCAATGATATACTGTAGTTTACATTTTGCTACGATAAAATCAATCCAGCAGTTGAGATATGCTAAATAGTACATACCACTTGTTCTCTGCACTTGTATATACTTAAAGTAGTTATATAATTTGTTATTTATTAGTCATTCGCCAATTAATTTGAACAGTCTTTTGTAGAGTCATGTGGATGTGAAGTATTTGAGGATGTTTAACTAAGTTTACCTGTGTCATCTTCTCTCTGTTGGCCTTGGGGTTAAGAGGAGCTTCAGTGAGCAGGGTGGGATGTTCCTCGGGGGCCACACGCAGCTCATTGTAGAAGGTGTGGTGCCAGATCTTCTCCATATCATCCCAGTTGGTGATAATACCGTGCTCAATTGGGTATTTCAAAGTCAGGATACCTCTCTTGCTCTGAGCCTCATCACCCACGTAGGAGTCTTTCTGTCCCATACCTACCATGACACCCTGTTAGAGAAGAGACATTGTCAATATTTCAGTACATACTGTGTAATATTCCTCATTCAATCTATAATATAGCCCATTTTTGCATTGTAAAACCATTGTACCTGGTGGCGAGGACGACCAACGATGGAGGGGAAGACAGCACGAGGCGCATCATCTCCAGCAAAGCCAGCCTTCACCAGGCCGGAGCCATTGTCGCACACAAGAGCGGTGGTCTCGTCGTCGTCACACATGGTTTCAGCTGGGAGTCTAAATGAGGAGCAGATACATGTATGAACATACTGCGAACATCCATGTATGCATTCCTGACAAGCTCATGTTTTCTATTCAGAATAGACCACAAAACCATCTGAAATTCTTCTCCAAACTTATTTAAAATAAAATAAAATTCTTTATTGGCATCTATGATTCCATGAAGCAACTTCAACATCAGTCGAACCTTTTCCATTGTTCAAAAGGTTCTTTATAGTACAAAAGGGTTCAGATTATAAAATGTTCTTCACACTTTTCACTGAAAGTTTCTTTGGGTAACCAAGAGTGTATGATTCCATGAACTTCCATTGAACAAAAGGTTCTTTATAGTGGAAAAAAAGTTATTCAGATTATTTAAAAGTTCTTCACACCTAAGAACTGTTAAATAAAAGGTTCTTTGAGAAACCGAAAATGGTTCTTCTATGGCATCACTGCAAAAACTCTTTTTTTTGTAACTCAGTCAGCAAGGTATTCATTACTGACAACTCTAAGCCTCTGAAATGTTTGTTTAGCTCAGGAGACAATTATTTGCATTAGAATTCCAGTGATATTGCACCAGAACTGGCCTAGTTTAAATTCTAGCGTTCAGAAGATCATCCCATTAAACGAAGTCTGACATTTCGGAAAGCTTTAGCTGTGCTTACCAGATCTGCACCAGGAGCTGGTTCCCTTGGAGAGTGAATGGTAGACAGCGCCTTGAGCCGCTGACAATTTATACTCCAAGACTGGACCGGCGCCCGCTGGACTTCCCTCTCCTTATTTGGTAGCCCTAGCGCCATTGAGAGCGGAGTGGCGCGGAGAAGGGCGCGGAGAGAAGAGACCCCCGCGAGACATTCGGTCCTACACTCATGTATGGGAAGAGACGCAGGGAGGCATCGCGGGGGGCGAGTGATGGTATTCCACGATTTTCAGCACGTCATTAATCACCGTGAACATTGTTGAAACGGCATCCGTAAAATCTGCACGTTACATGCTAAATATACATTACAAGACAATAAGCGATTTTTTCTCTTTAAACAACAAATAATCTGCCGTTTACACTTAACGATGTCCCATTTTGTAGATATTAAAGTGTTGAGATTTTCATTCAGAAGCAAAATAAGAGTTTGTCAACGTATCTCAGAAAAACAAAGAA